GTTATTGTACCAGATGCAAATGACATAGGTCCATTCTTACCTAAGGCAGCAGAAGGCACAGTTTTAATGTATGCTTGAACAACTGCAAAAAGAAAAGAATAAAGTTATTATTTTATCAACAAAATAAAAAGAATGAAATGAAGAATTATAGATACCACTCACTTATTTCTCCTTCAGCATTAGCGAGGTCAAGAAACGGAATATTTGTTACTGGAGACTCTGGTTTTTTATCAGCTTTACGTATACCGAAAAAATTCACTTTAGTCTTCTTCTGAATTATCAGCTCGTAGTTTAAGCATTTCATTTCTCTATGAAATTTTCTTTCTTGAACTACTTACCCTTGTGCTCCATCCATAGACATAATCTGAAAAAATACATATATGTTTAATTATATATTTAATCTAAAAACTATATAAATTTTTTTTCTCCATACCATGCCTGAAATAAGACTGTCGCAATATTTATCAACTAAAGTTTGGCCCCAAATTAACAAATTAAATCTCTAAGTGCCATTACTTATTATTGCTTTGAACAAATTTTTATTATTATTTCCCACCTGTTGAATGCCCAAAACCTCACATAGAAATCCAGTGTATTCCCTTTAAAAAAATATATATATTCAAACTTATTAATTAACTGTTTATAAAATTCAAATTTACCTACAAATAAATACTAACACACAATAATCAACGCCTTATGCTTCCATCAAATATTGAACTTCCTCGTCAGAAGTAAATTCAACATCATTTTCTTCATTAGCCATTATTACTGTCAATTAAGATCGAACCTGTAATGAGTTTTTTCAATCAAAAATATTACAAACGCTCGATAAAAGTAACAAATGATTCTAAAAGTGAAAAACGAAACGGGGGTTTCAACAGTAAAATCATGGACTACCCACGTGTCGCATTGTAAAAAGTGTTTCTAAAACGTTTAATAAAAACTAACAAATGATTCTAAATACTCGCAACTAATAAAAAAAACTTCTTTTTTAGTTACAAATGTTCAAATAAGAAAAACAAATGTTCAAATAAGAAAAATTACTGTTGCACGAAATGTACGAAATGAGGGTTAGGACAAATTACTACTGACTATCACTATATTATCTTTTGGACTACTCACTACTGATTGAAAATACTTACCAAAAATATTCAAATGACGGACGTACAACACAATTAGAAGCACCTACACTATATAATTAATCAATGTGAAATGCCGGAAGCCGAATGTCTGAATGACCGAATTGTCAGACCCTCAGGCAAATGACACAAGTGGCACCACAAGCGTACATTACTTTGACTTTTTTTGTCTAAAATAGGGATTCTCATTTCAATTTCAAATTAAAAATCAAAAATCAAAAATCACTATCAAACATCAAAAATCACCATCAAAATAAAAAAATCAACATCAAAAATCAAAAATCAAAAATTTATTAAAATTTTAATAAATATAAAATAAATTATTATAAATTTATAGCTATGAGCATATTACAATTTAAAATCAGCGCCAGAGCTAAACTAACCAATCAAAATCAATACGTCAGAACTCAAACTAACCAATCAAAATCAATAGAGGCTTCACTCTTCATCATTCTCTCTTTTAACAGGGATTATTTATTCCATTTATATAATAAATTTTGATTCATTATAATCAGACAAAGGCCCAGCAAGAATGAAAGTTATCTAAAATTTATATAAATTATTGGTGACTAGCATTTAACGTATAAGTTACTTATACCATTATTTTCATTCTATCACTTCTTTCAAAACTCGATGTATTGCAATACATAGTGAGAGAAAGTAATAATTCGTACTATACTACTCCTATTAAATGAAGATTTGATAGGAGTCTTTTTTTCCACTTGGCACATACCGATATTCGCACAATAAGTAGTAAACTCTTTGCAGCTCTGCTCATTGTGCTGCACTCACCAGAGGAACTCGATAAATGGAAGATAGATCATGAATAGTGATGACTTGTTTTGGTCCAACATGACAGAAGTCTAAATTTTGTTTAATGCCTAATTTTAATCACAGTCACGTTGAAAATCACAATGAAAACGTTTATCCAACGTTCAAATACATATTAGCTCATTCGAAATTTTAGCGATAAAATGATTTCGGAATGAGTTTGAAACGTTTCAGAAACATAAGATTTAAGATTCCATTTTAATAATTTTTAATTTATTTGGATAAAACGTTTTTCAAATATTCTGGATTTTGGAATAAACAACGATAAAAGCGGTAAATGAAGGTAAAAGAATCAAGAATAGGGCGAAAAATTTGATAGCTTCTCATAAGGATGCCGTGTTCCAGCTCTGTATATAATAGGTGTTTTGTTTTAGTGCAAAATACTAATACTATCTATAATCAAAAATAAATCTCTAAAAATACTATTTACTATTTTATGATGTGTTAGAATTTCAAAATATATTTTCTTTGAACTTTCATCTAAGTCTTATATACTTAATAGTATTTTTCGGCCATTCTTTGCAAATACTGACAAAATCTTTCATAACTAATATGTTAAGCAAAATTCTTTTAAACCAATTTTAGAGCCAACCCGTTGTGAAAAAAATAATAATCAAACAATCATCTCAGGTTACAACACGTGTGTTTCGTTGGTAAATATCCAACCTCATCAGATCTTTATTAAAAAAACAAAACGAGAAAATATTGTCTACTCCATATCTAAAAGTTTGTTTTTTTAATTTCTGAAAACCCTCAAAATAGGCATTTGTTGCGGCGATGATTTCTTCATTCGATGTGAATCGTTGTCCGGCAAGCTATTTCTTGTGGTTAAGAAAAAAGAAAAAGTCACTGGGAGCCAAATCAGGCAAATATGGTGGATGGTCAATTAATTCGAACTTTAAATCGTTAATTTTTGCCATCGAAACTGCACACGTGTGAACTCAAGCATTGTCTTGAAGAAAAAGGCATTTTTTTTTGTTCAAGTGAGGACGTTTTTCTCTGATTTTTTCTTTCAGATGATCTAATAATGACGCATAATATTGTCCAGTGGTCGTCTGGCCCTTTTCCAAGTAGTCGATGTAGATGATTCCATACGCATCCCAGAAAACCGTGCCCATAATCTTACCAGCTGACTTTACTGTCTTTGCTTTCTTTGGGGCTGGTTCTCCTGCGGTAATCCATTGTTTGGACTGTTCTTTGGTTTCAGGAGTGTAGTGGTGTTCCCATGTTTTGTCTACAGTTACGAGTCGATGCCAAAAGTCTTCCGGATTACGAAGTATATGTGCCAAAAGAGCCTCAGAGGTGACCACGCGGGTTCGTTTGTTTTCAACAGTGAGCAAACGCGGCACCCATCTTGCTGATATTTTTTTCATCCCCAATTTTTCATGTGTTGGATTGGAGCAAATGATTGTGAACGCTAAATTTATAAATATTAAACTAGTGAAAGTATGATTTATTACGGTCTCTATTAAACAAAGGTACAAAGTAAAGTTATATTATTAAAAAGGAGCTCTATATCCACTGGTGGTTGCTGCTGGAGTGCCGCGCTAGTTTGAGCGGCAGTGCAGCAAAAAGAAAGGTGGCGTGGTGGGCGCCCGCGCACATGCGCACAGTACTTTCAACATCATGCAAAATTGAAATGATTGTACCCTTTGATACCCCTGTGGCCTCAACTAATTCTCGCAATTTGAATCTTCTATCATTCAACACCATATCGTGGATTTTGTTGACCATTTCGGGCGTACTCACTTCTATGGGGCGTCCTGAACGAGGTTCATCTTTTGTTGTTGTACGGCCGCGTTTAAATTCATTCACCCAGTTATAAACAGTCTTCAATAATATAAATATAGATCTATCTTGATAATTAACTAAAGTCTTACTTGATTAGTTGAAATAAATTCCTTCAAATATATGGGTTATTCTTGGCTATTTCGATTGACTTATAACCCTTAGGTTACGGATTTTTTTTTAATTTGGCACAAATGTTGTACACATGAAAGTGAAATTTTTCCCAAATTTTGATGTCGATACATTAATTATATCAAAAGTTATTAACAATTAAAGAAAAATGATAAAAAAATTTTCACACGGCAATATTTTAAAAACTAATAAAGATATTGAAGTCGGATTTTTTCCAAAATACTTATAATACCTTGAACTTCGAAATAATTACAACAATAAACAATAAAAAATTTTTTTCGAAAGCTATTAACTTTTTGTTTAAATAATTACTAATATCTCAAGAAGTATATTTTTTTGTTTGAAAAATTCTTGCTCCTGCGTGTTGCTGAGGATTTTTGCTATCGAAATCAATCATATAATTCAAGGGCCCGACATATCGAAAAGCGTAGCCCTAATCAAAACAAGATGCCTCGGTGTACGTCGCAACGGCAGCGGGACGTCTTCGTGGTCTTACGCTGAGGCGTTTTCTTCTAATTAGGACTACGCCTTCCGATATGTCGGGCCCTTGAATTTTATGATGATTTCGATAGCAAAAATCCTCAGGAACACGAAGGAGCAAGAATTTTTCAAAAAAAATATACTTTTTGAGATATTAGTAATTGTTTAAATAAAAAGTTAATAACTTTCGAAAAAAAAATTTTATTGTTTATTGTGGTAATTATATCGAAATTTTAAGGCATTATAAGTATTTTGAAAAAAATCCGACTTCAATATCTTTATTTGTTTTTAAAATATAGCCGTTTGAAAATTTTTTATCATTTTTCTTTAATTGATAATAACTTTTGATATAATAAATGTATCGACATCAAAATTTGGGAAAAATCTCACTTTCATGTGTACAACATTTGTGATAAATTAAAAAAAAATCCGTAACCTAAGGGTTATAAGTCAATCGAAATAGCCAAGAATAACCCAACCTATATACTAATCTTAGAAAACAGTAGGAATCAGTTTTTATCATTTTTATTTCAGTCTACCTGTAAAAGAAGATTCTAAACAAAGTATCTGATCAACCAACTGATGTGATTAAATAAAATTGAATAAAAAAAGTATATATCTGATCGTAAAAAAGGTTATATTTACTAAACCAATTACAGCTTTTCCATTTTTCAATAATTTAATAAATAATCTTCTTATTTTTTACTGCACTTTGATAATTTAAAAAATTGTTCACAACTTATTAAAGCAAAGTATCCAGTGCGTAGCGAAGCCTCGGTTTGAAAATGTAAAGACGAAGGGTAACGTGGAAGCGTGGAACCAAATTAAACGACGGTCACGGGTACAAAGAAAATATAGGAATGCTACGACTATACTTTTATAAGTTTGCCTTTGCCAGAGAATGATCGGATTCTCAGGGCTAAAGGAACTCAGCAGGAAGTTAACGAAAATCAACTGAAAAAAATTATAAAAAAACTGCGCATGGTTAACAGAGATAGCAAAAGTTATTTATAACTTCGCGCAATTTCATTTTCATTAATAAAAAAATTATCAAACTCGATCACTTATAGATCATCGATAACTATCTACGTAGAGTTTTAATAAAGTTTTTGAAGAAATAAACCGGTTCAATTGTTAGAATTACTAAATAACTATTAATTAGAATACACAACAATAGTTAACATTGACCGTTATTTCAGAAAATAACCCATTCCTATTAATACAGTTATTATAATTTGAATTTTTTGCTTCTAAAATTCATGCAAAATAAACTTATGATAAGTTCAATTTCTTATATATTCAAAACTCAATTAATATTAGTGTTGGACATTTATTGGATACTATAAGAGTTTATTGGTTAGTACTCTTATAGTTGTTATGAATGCATAATTTTGAAGGTATATAATAATTAAATTGCTTTATTACAATCATTCAAAATCTGTGTCCAATTATTATCTAGATTGCTGGAAAGATTTTTGAAGCGTATCAAGGTTTTCTTTATGGACATGTTGTTTTTCATCCAACTTTATTATAGAATCTTCTACTTTCTTTCTATAACAAATGTTAAGTAATATTAAATAATATATTTAGTTGTAAATACAATGATACCATAATAAGTAAATTATACAATTTTTTCAGGCTACAACAAATTCAAATTTTTTAAATTTTCATCTAATATATATAGTCTTTTTAATTGACTTTAAATGATATTATATTTAATATTACAGAGCCACAAAATTAATTTAAATTACTTATATTTTATTCTTGATTATTAACGGATGGTTTTATTATCTGTTAATAATCAAACTGTGGCAACAAACCAAATAATCTATTAAAATTATATTAGGTTATTGGTAAGATCATCGTAAATAATGAAGAATGGAATATTGATAACATGAATTATTTTTCTAATGTTGTAATACTTTGTAAAATTATATAGCAAAAAACAACTTTCTAATATTTTCATTAACAAACTCTCAAAAAAAAAAAAGTCATGTGAATTATAATATTTGGGAAATTTTTTTGAATTATTTAGTCTGAAAAATTCATATAAATTATTTATTTCAAATTAAAAATAAATATCTCTAGAATATTTCTGCAAAAATATTTTTAATACCTACATTTCAATTTTTATAAATTCCATTCGTTTATTAACATTTTCTTTAGCCTCATCTAAATCTTGTCTAACTAAAACTGGTCCAATGAGTTTGAATACTTTGTTCTCAACTTTTAAAAGATTAAGTTCTTCTTTAACAGTGATATTTTCATTCATTTGGCTATCTAGCTGTTGCCTTCTTGATAATGTTTTATGATAATCTAAAAATAAATTATAAAAGATAATCTTAAGTAGAAAAAAATATATTTCTTATAGTTATAAGAAATTACAGATATTACAATACATAAATTACTATAATAGAATGTTAAACCTTTTTGAACTTGCTTGAAATTTTCAATTTCTTCTTGAAGATTTTTTTTAATCTCTTCAACCATTTTTTTCAACGAATTTTCAAGTCTTTTATTACTGTACAATTGTTTGATGAAAAACTCAATTATTTTATTTTAAGTCAATTTTTTATTTCAATACATCAAAAATATGAGCTCCGTACTATATACCCACAAGTGGTAGATGAGGCTTCATAAAGCATGGAAGCTCCATTGTCTTGACACCAAAAGTGAAAGTTAATGAAACAATATATATCAGCGTATAAGTTTTCCTATGTTCTTTAATTTTATCATGATAAATAATTTTCTATTCTTGCCGTTAACGAGAAATCTAAATAATTTGAAAGTACTGGTACTTATATAAGATTATTTTTTTCTCCGCTCAGCTAAATTAAAACAAATTTCTTGTCCCAATCAAATGCTCTAAATTTTTTCTTTTGAATGATATTTTTACTTTTCAATTACGTATAGGAACATTATCAAAGTTAATTTTTTAATATTTTCTATAATAATGTATATAGATACAGGTGCATAAGCGTATACGCATGCGCCAACTGTAGGTACTTTCTTAGCTATTTGGATACCTCAAGAAGTCATCACATCCATTTTTGAAAATTTTTCATACTTGTTAGTACAATTCCAATTATCAATTTAGCAGAGTTTTAGAAAAAAATAATATTTAATTAAGAAGTTTAAGCTCGGAAATCCTTTAACTTCAATATAAAACTAATAAAAATAAAAATTATTAATTTTTTAAAAAGTTATAAACTTAGAAACTTAAAATTTAGAAACACCATCGTATTCCTTACACTTTTTTACACACGAATATATATCAACATCGACCGGCCTGATATTAAGCAGCCTATAGTAAGTTATTAAACGAAGCGGTTGGAGTATAATGCGACGGCGCCGTAGCGGATTTCAGCACGTACAACACAGGACGTCCTATCAGTCTTAGCCTTTTTGAAATTTACTCTCTACATTTAATTGGACTTAAGACCATCTCTATTATGAAGTGACTGCATTAAAAATGTTTTTATTTATAATATTAGTCACCGTTGGATCACTGAGGTATGCAGACGTGCCAACATTATGCTCTACCTGAAAAGTTAAAGTATTAGCTAATCAATGGTATGACAGTAAAATTAAAAATTTAATTTAATAAACTTTAAAAAAAAAAACAACGCCCGAAATAGCCACTCAGTCAGAAGATGACCAAATCACTCCTAATAAAAAACGAAAACTGAAAAATCGTAAGCAGCACGAGACAAAAAAACAGTCTAGAAAACCAAATACAAAACAAAAAACGAAAAGCACAATTATCAGATTACTGGCTAAGTAACACAAGCAACAGGTACGAAATGCTTCAAAATAAATAAAATGATTAAAAGAAATTTACACTCATCAGCCCAAAGAAGAAAAAGAATTTAAAGTTATATTAAGAAGCATTCACTTGTCAATTGATATGGATGAATTAAAGCAGTCATTGAAAAACATGGATTATATTATAGGATATTATATTATATTATATTATATTATAGGAATTTATTAAAGCACAAACTCCCACGATGCAGAGCTAACCGTTGCTCCATTAAACACGTATGAATATACGTGTATTCACCTTTACGTTTGGAAAAAGACACTGATACTTTCGTTTCAGTGTCTTCTTTCCACCAGAGTTGAACTTACCTTAAGTACCTGACTTGTGACACTCGATCTATTTTAGGTGTGAGTGACCTAATGCTTATTCCACCTAATCCCCTAGATGAAATCGGTTTAAAATTTAATTCGTAATAGCTCCGTTAAACTAATATGAAACGAAATGACGTAATGCAACGAATAAGATTAATAACGTTTAATTCAAATAAATGACATTTTTTTATGGGCCGAAAGACTAATGTACGCGAATAGGATTTTACAATGATTAACAATAATACGGGGAGAGAGAGAGAGAGAGAAAATTCGAAACTAACGCTCAGCGCGAATACAAAATAACAGTCGGGACAGACAAAATATTCTCGCTAGTATTTTGTCGTGCAATAAAAATGAGGTCCACCTACCCTGCGCTGCCTCACTCGAAATATCTGCAGTTGCTCTACTGCTATTTCAATTACTGCTGCTGTAATGCTGCTGCTTCTAATCAGCTTCCTTGCTATCACTCGCGCATGTATTCAATATCCCAGGAAACAATTTTTGTAGCAAAATCGGTGAAACACAGTGAAAACTAATTGGCGGTACTTTCGCAAGTAACAGATGAGGCTTAACTTAAAACTTTGAACTCTCGCGCGCCCCCTCTCTCTCTCTCTTAATCGTTCGCTCTAGCATTGCGAGTACTACCGAATCGCAAACGGATGGATTAATCGAATCGAATACCGTTGCAATTCATAATACTCGTATAAGGCATCGCATCACAAAACTACCATTGCCGCTTTTCACTGTTTAAATTGAACATGATTATAAAAGGCAAAAAATTTATTAAGTAAATCGACTATAAAACACAGTTATTAATTTCGAACCACCGAATGTTAAAAGAGAAATTTCTCAATGTTAAAACTGCCAAGATATGGGCATACAAAAAATTATTGTTACAAAAGTGCTATATATGTGAAATGTACTAAATAATACCAAACTACAAAATGTCGAATTAAACAAAAAATAAAAGACGTAACATGTGTAAATTCCAAAGGAAATCACACCGCAGACTATAAAGGATACATAGTTCGCAAGCAATTACAGTAAAAATTATTTCCTAGGCTCGAAGAAAACATTAAATCCAAATAGTATTCAAATTAATGAAATTCCAAATCAAAATTCGATTGGTATATTTAATTTAAATACCAATGTCAATAGAATTAGAAAATCTATAGGAAAACCTAGTGGTAACAAGATCGGACGAGGAAAAAGCTGAAACGTTCGCAAATCATTTTAGTACAGTATTAAAGTCATCGAAGATAAACAATTCTGCTCTGGACTTCTGGACAACATCCAGGTATATTCCTGGATGTTGTCCAGGCTTTTGACAAGGTTTGGCATAAAGGACTACTGCATAATGTCACGTCGATACAAAGAATAAGTATGTGATGAATTATGATAAGTAAATAACGGGTTATGGTAACAAACCGGGTATCGGTAATTTAATTTCCTATTATATCAACCCTCCCAGGAACATTTGTAAATCTATCTAGCGGGATAGATTAGTCTAAGCACGTCTCCATAATATTTCCGCGAATATTACTCACCGCATATTAATTCGGCGAAAACACAGGAAGGGGCACATCAGCCTACGGTATAAAAAGGCTGGATCGGGATCCGCAAAACCCAGTACAGTTCAGCAGTTTGGCAGTTCAGAGCAATTCAGTTCGCACAGCATACATTTCGCGCAGTACTAATTGAGTTATTTTTTAAGTCTAACTATCCGGCTACTCAGAACCGGAATTATACTCTGCTAAGCATTATAAAAATTGTCTTTAAACAATAAATCGTAAATCAAGCGCATACATCTGAGACTGTTCATAAAAACCTCTTCTGAAATCCAATCCTAATAAGGTAAGAAACTAATTTATCTACTTAAACGCGCTACATATAATAAAGGCGCTATCCCTTTAACAAACCTCTGCTTAACTCCTGACTAAGATCCAACTTTTACCAACGCGACAGTATTTGTATTTAATTATTACGTCTAGCAGTAACATTTCCTCGCCTAAACATAACAATTAGGGGCCCCTCATTTCTTGGTAATTGGGATCTTATTGCAAAAAATTACAATGGTCGAAACACCTTACGAACGAAAACTAATTACACTCAAAATACTAACAAAAAAAATTAGCGAAATAGAACCAAGCTTTACAACGAACAGGGAACCTACGCTTACAGAATATCTGACATATCTGCATCAAAGATCTCCACCCACCGAAACAAAGCAAATTACCCGAGTCGAAGAATTACAAAGATTAGAATATAATTTACAAGACTACATTGATAAAAATCCATTGGACTTTCTATGTAAAGATGACCTAATATTCGACATCCTCATTGAAATGACTAGTAAAAATTTAAATCCAGCATTTCTCCTTAACGCTATTACGGATATAAATTTTGAAAAATTAAAATTAGATAAAACTGAAATTCCATTACTCGAACTCATCGAAAATCAAACGGGTTACGAGACAGCAATTGAAAATTCAGACACGTACAACGCGCCCACTACAAACTTATCTATGACTAATACACCGTCCGCTTCCAAATCAACAGAAATGACTCTTAATAAATCGGAGAAAGTTGATTTCGCTCCAACTCGACATTTTGCCTCTACAAAACACCGTACTATACTCTACACCGTATTATACGTCGGGGACTTTCAGAACAGGATTAATGAATTCCACACAAAACATAGTATCGCCAATAAAAAATTTTAGCTTGAAAGACGCTGTTAACTTCGTACCTAAGTTCGACGGATTTAACATACCCTTACACTTATTTATCGACGGTTGTCGAGAGGCACACAGCATAGTCCCGACAATCAATGAAAATGATCTCACCAAGTTAATTAAAATTGAACTAAGCGGTGAAGCACTTAAAAGTGTGCAAGGAAAAACATTTGATAATGTAGAACAAATGATTAAATTTTTAGACCTAATGTTCGGATCAGCAAAAACTTTTAATCAATTAACAGGCGAATTAGCAACCTTAAAAGAAAAACGTGGTGAGAAAGTAGTTACATTTTCTAATAGAGTTAAAACAGTAGCTGACGAACTTTTTGAAGCAACAGTAAGAGAAAATCGAAACTATGCTGGATTTAAAAGCCAACTTGAAAAAGACAAAGTAAAATTCTTCATCCGCAGTTTATATTGGGTCATCAAAACACGTATGGGGGAAGTCGAAAATTTAGAATTAGCTACAGCTAAAGCAATAGAAATTGAACGAGAATTCAACGTACAGGAACCTGAGGAAATAACTGAAACAGTAAAAGCTCTAATCCAACCTAAAATAAAGCCGGTTCGATTAATGAAAGCGGAAGATACTAACACCTGCCAAATTTCCAATAGGCCGAAACACACAGCTAAAGACTGTTGGTATCGGATACCGCAGAATCAAAATCAAACTCGGCTAACTACGCAACAGCAACGGCAGCAGCCCAAACAGCAGTCGTGGGCAGAGCCTCGCGCGTCAGCTAACAATAGCACTAATCCCCGCTCCAACCATCAGCCACTTTAGGCCGCCCCAAATCAAGTAAAAACAAGCGCCTCAGTCACTTTAAATTAGCAAGAAAAATTGCAACAAATTAATTTCTCGATTTGCAATTACTGTAAAGAAACTGGACATTGGAA